AGGACATGCTGTGACCAATCCAATTTGAGTCTCTGGGTGGGGGGTAGAACCCAGGGATCAACATTTTTAAAAAACTCCACCAATCTATAAGCAAGGTTAAAAACCACTGTTCTAGGTGAGTTTCCTGGCCTCTCTGGCAGGATTGGCTTACTCTTCCTTCCATTTTTGCTATACTATGTCTAGCCCTCTACTATAATACTCATCATACTATCATAATTTTGTCTTAGTATGTCTGTCTTCACCACTGGAATCTGAGCCTCCCAAAGACAGAGATAATGTTCAAATATAGAAGCTTTTGAATATCTGTTACATAGTGATCCAGTATGTTAACACACACACACACACACACACACACACACACACACACACACACCTGAAACCAAAGTTTTGCAGAATAATACTGATTTTCTGACCCTTACTTAAAAGTGATGGACTCTGTTTTTTCTTTAATTCTATTATATTAATTGTATTCCTTTTCATTTAAAAAATGTTGATTGATACTCATTAAATTAATTACACAACCCAGTACTTTGTCTACAATGTATTTGAAAAGCACCTCTCTTAGGACTTTCATGATGGGACTAGATCTCTTATAAGAATACGAAGAGTCACCAGAGCTCTCCATCTCTGCCATGTGAGGATACAGAAAGAAGGCAGCTGTCTGCAAGTCAAGAAGCAGGCCATCATCAGAACCTGACTATGCTCGTGTCCTGATCTTAGACTCCTAGCCTCCAGAACTGTGAAAAATAAATTTCTGTTATGTAAGCCTCCTCCCTCCCAAGAAAAAAGAAAAGAAAGGAAATCACCTTTCTGAATATGTTTATATCACTAGCCCTAACACCATGACACATAGCAGGTGTTTAGTAAAGATTTTCTGAATTAATAAAAGTTCTCAGGAAAATAATATATATATTTACATATCCATAGCAGTAGACAGTCATTACCAGTATAAAGAAAAATATCAAGATTGACTTTCACACTCTTTAGACAACAATCAAAATCGATTAGAAAATACATATAAAACTCAATTCAAATTAAAGCAACAGAAAGGAATGCACTGAAGGTTTCCTTGCCTTAGAATTAGGGATCCTTAAATTACCTCTCTATTCCCAGATGTCCCAAGAAATATGATACTTCAATTTATTCAAGAAACTAATTGTGCTTCTAAGGTTGCATTCTTTCTCCTTCCTTTGGAATTAATTAGTAGGCCACGATTTTGGTAGTAAATATTGAAGAAGCTACTTCCATAATTTCAATACTGTATTAGCGATCAAAGATATCTTCTTTTGCAGGTATACTCATACATACAATTCAAAGTTTATCAAACTTGTCTCTCTGGAAATGTTTTATGTAACAGAAGAGAATTTTTGTAATGGAGGGGTTGAGAGGAGACATGGGTAAAATCATACGATATTAGAAAAATTGAAAGATATGGCCTGAGACATGACCCAGATCACAGATGGAAGAATTTCAAATAATAACTGCTCCTTAGTTTCTTTCACTAAAATAAAATATATTAATTACACCACCTTTATGACCATCTCTTCCCACCACATATCCACACCCACACATGTTCTTTACAAGCTGGTACCACAATGATCTCCCAGGAGTGCTTAGAGAACCACTTAATATCTGGGAAACTCTTATGAAATATTTGCAAAGATGCAGAGTCTTCCCGTTTTCAGTTAATCACTCAGGGTTTGATGTTAGAACTTTAAACCATGAACAGCTTTGCCAACTCTTTTAGGCTCAAAGCAGAAAATGTTTTGAACAAAGAAATAGTTTGATTCAATTATGAATATAGTTAGTCATTTAAAAGATAAATTTGCAATTAAAAAATCCCCAACTTTCACCCTTCAGGGCTTTATATTGTGTTCTATACAAATACATTGGCTTAAAAATTCCAGTTAGACTATCAGAAATAATATTTATAAGAAAAATCTCCTCATCTTGAAGTGCAAGGACAACTGCAATGTCCTTGATTTTAGTAAGAAAAGTAAATAACAATTTTTCCCAATACAGGAAAATTATATCTTTCAGAGTAGAATTAATAATATTAGTTCTATTCAGGAAGTATATGCTTCATATTACATGCATGCTTACAGAACCTATGAATTATGATTACTCTGGGAGAATTAAATACCTATGAAGTGGCTGATAAACAAGAGTGATAGGTAGTCTAGCAAGAGCTGGAGTCTCGATATATAGAAAAACTGATTGACAGTCACAGAGAAAAACACATTTTGTGAAGGTTTTCAACCTCTCTCTCCATTCAGCAGCATTTGTATAAAATAAAACATCACTGCTTTGGGGTAGACAGATATATAGAAATCTGTTGGGAGAGCTGTTTCTTTGGCTAGGCATTTGGAATTTCCTTTTTTTAATATATAAGAACTATGCTTGCTATATAGCATGAATCAATGAACACAATTCTACCAGCTTCTCCAAATGTAGTCAAAAGGCATGCCATTATACTTTTTTCCCTTTGCACATATTATAGAAAATTCCTTTTGTTCAAAATAAAAATTCATAGAGGGAAAAAGGCAAACACTTCCATTTAGCTGAAATACTGAAATTGCATGTAATCTCTTAAGGTATTCTTTTTTATTTACTTCCAAGTTTTGCATTTCCATTTGTTGCTTTCAAACCCCAGTTTCTGACTCAGTTCAATTGGTTGAAATGTGCCATTAACAATAATCAATAGTTTCAGTAGCTTACAGTTTTTACCACGGCATCTCCAAATCTCTCATCAAAAGACTGTTATCCAATCATCTAACTAAAAATTGGCTATAAATGTCATCTCTATCCATAAAATGTAGTTTAAACCGTAGGCAACTAGAATTTATGGAAAACACAATATTGACTGTGAGGGAAGAAGAAAACTATCTCTGTTTTAAAATAATTTGGGAATTTTAGTTAATTCTACTATAGTTAAGGAGAAAATGCTATGTCAAGGTCTTCAGGAACTCTAAGGGAGTTTTATATGGCTTTTAACAATAAATACAGTTTATCACTTTGGGGCTGAGGCAGTAAAAAGCTCCTGCCTTATTCACAAGCTCTCTCTCTTTTTCTGCCTTGGGTACACTGAAAGTTATGTGTGATGTGTGCCATAGCTCAAAGATGGAGGAGGGTAGCCTGATTGACATTGGACTTTATGTGAGCAACAAATAAACTGGTTTTCTTATGCCACTGGGGACAAAAAAAGAATAAATACATTTTCTTAAGTAATATGACATAAACTAAGACACTTTCAGCATAATTTCCAACTGTTTTTGAAAGAAAGATCAGAAGTCTAAACACAAATGCAGTTTAGTTAGTCTCTGTTCCGCCATAATAAATATAGCTAGGAAACATGGCGAGTTTTTCCTTTAATGATTCAGAATCTTGCAGTTTCTCAGGATGAGGAGTTTATAGATGAATTTTTTCATTATATAGTACTGCAGATATAAATACAAATTGTGTAGGAGATAATGGATTTATCTTTGCTCTCAACCAGACTTATTCACTGTTTTAAGGGATGCTTTATAAAATCCCTGACAACAAATTATTTTTTAATCATTAGATTATTCTTTATTTTCCAAAGTAATCTGCTAAAAATCCACTTAATCAGAATTTTATTATTTATCTACCATAGCTGCTGAGAAAAATGTGAACTCATATATTTATTAAAATTATAGGGTAGCTTTATGGGCATTTACAAAGTGAAATAAAATTTTATTTATGAAATAACATAAGCCAAATAAGTTATAGCAGTGCACTGTCTTAACCATACATCTAAGAGAGAGCAAAAAATTCTAAATTTGCATTGCCTTTATATTATATCACAAGCTATGGGAGATATCTGCAAAGATAAAGTCAGGTATTGTTCTAAACAATTTACCTCTAAATGATCATACTAATTCAACATGCATTGTAGAGGCTAAAGTAGAATCAGACGAGAATGCTAAAGTAAGAATGATGAATTCAGAAGCTATAACTTGCTACCAACACCTATTTCATGGACCAGAGCAACAAAGTAGATCAAATATTATATGAAAACAGAAAAACAGGAGAAGAACAATAGGAAGAGGAAAGGAGAAGAAACTTTGCTTACTGTGATTTGATTTTGGAATTATTTTTCAATACAGGATATACTATCACTTTTTTATCATAGTTTAAAAATATGAAAAAATAGAATTAGTCTATAAAATTGATATTCTAACACTTCAAATTGTATTTGAGATACTTATAAAGTTCATATATCAAGTGAGGAAAAATGAACTATACATAATAAAACTCCATAATAGTTCAAGAAAATTATATCAGGTATTGAGAATAAATTTTAGGAGCCTCCTTGAACTGCAAAATATGATTCCAGCAAGACTCCATTTAAGCAAAACTACACAAAACTCTGTTTTCAGTGTTTATGCATATAGAACTTTATAGAAATAATTTTTGTCTCTAGGAAAAACAATTGTCTAAAGATTATATGATCATTAACTATGACAAATTTAGCCATCTCATTTTTATTTTCACAGATCATGTTAGAAAGAAAGCTACAAAATGCTAGATTAACATTTCAAAATGTATTTGAAATTAATGAAGGGAAACTGATTCAGTTAGCAACGCTAAATAAAACAGACAATTCATACAGATGCTTTCCCTATAAAATATTAAATAAACACTCAAAAATGTCAACTTTTTCAATTTAATAAATTGATCCCTAACTTATTTCTATGTTTGAGCAAAGTTTCTCCTTGACCAAAGCTCTAGTTATATATGCAAGTTTTTTTTTTCTAGTCCAAACACATACTTTTTAGAAGATAGAGGTGTTTAAATGGAAATATAAATGACATTTCTTTCTCTTTCTGCCTCTTTCCTCCTTGCCCAAATACTGAAATATATCAGGTTATATAAAACAGCTATTTTATTTTGTCCCCAGTTTGTCAATTACAAGCACAAATGCTGAGAATTGTCTTATTGGATCTACAAGAGTGGTAAAGTGGAAACACTTGACTTACTTTCCATTGTTTCATCAGCTCTCTTACTCCCTTGGAGTCTTCTAGAAGTCTCTCCTTATGGGTAGCATCCTGTAGGACATTGGCAGTTGTTTCAGCTTCTGTAAGCCAGGCAAGAAACTTCTCCAGGTCCAGGGGGAACTGTTGCAGTAATCTATGAGTTTCTTCCAAAGCAGCCTCTCGCTCATTCACTCTGCAAAGGAACAAATATCCAGATGTAATACACAAATATCAAAATGGTGCACCTAGTGAACTCCACAAAAAGAGTAAAGATGGAGAGACTAAATTGTAATATACCAACAAAAGGACGAGTTGTTGCTAAAGCTCTTCCTTTAAGTGACAACAACTAGAACACCATGCAGGCTGTTAACATTAGTTTCTATTTAACTTAAAGGCTTCTGCATGGGGGAGGAATGCAAAAATATCTATTTAAAAAATGAATGACAATTGCAGACTTCTATAAATCCCCTTCACAGAAAAGAGGTGAATATATATATATAACATTTTAGTTTCTGCTGGTCAATTTGGAAAACTTATTTTAATATGCTACAAAAGTTGAAGCTAACCTTTATAGGTAAAATCCTAAAACCCCTACAGCATGCTTGTCTTTGATGTCACCCCAGGGCAGGAAATAAGCATTAGACAGGCAAGGAGAAAAGTCAAGAGAATACAAACTTAGAGTCAAAAGATAAACACTGAAGGAAAAGACAAAAAGAAGGAATTGGAGTTCAAAGGGACAAAATACTAACAAGTAGAAAAATAATATTTCCTAGAAACCATTGCGCATAATGTAATTTTGCATAACACCTGTTTGTTATAATTATTGTGTTAACTTCGTATGTCATTACCTGATGGTCATATAACTGAGAACACGGTCCAAAAGAAAAGTGTTACATGTAATGGAAAAAGTAGAGCCTAAAAAATAGATTTGGGTTCAATTCCCAATGTCCCTAACCAGCAGAGCGATAGGACAAGTTACTAACTTCTCTGATTTCTCATCTGCAATATTTATTGCTGTGATGAGAATTAAAGTACAATAAAGCATGTAAAGTTGAGTCCCTCACATATTCTACAGTAACACATTATTGTTACCCAAAAACGTTAGTTCCTTCTGCCCACATCCCTCCTCATTCCTTTAGTCCTTTAAAAAGGATGAAACAAATTCCCTAATGACATAAAACTCCAAAAAAATTATTCATATTTTCTGATAATATATAATGCATGTATTGTTGATCCACACACACATATGCCCTCAGCAAGATCTACATAATAATAGCTTGAAAGGGAAAATTGATTTAGGCAGTAACAATCCCATCTAAAAAGATTCAGGTAAATTTTCTCTGCAATGAGGAAATTAGTACTCTATTTAAATGCCTTATTTGCCTTCTATTACTACACAAACACTTTCTGGGATTAAACATAAGCTAAAAATGGATTTTAAAAAATTGAACACTTGAATATGATACACACTGCTTGTTAAGATGTGATTGTCAATAATTATGCAAAACTGCAATTTATTTCAGCAGCAACTTTATCATGGGATGTGCAAACCAGGCAATAAACAACTCCTGCCGAGCCAGCGGCAGCAGAGCCCCCGGAAGAGCTGTTTATTCATCATGGGTGAGGTTTTTGCTGAGCACACAGTCTTCTACAGTATAGTTTCAGTGCTCATACTGGATAAAAATCTTCTGTCTGCATTAACTGGTGGAGGGTAGAATAGGTTTATGAGGATGCAGCTATTGGAAAAAAAGTAAGCATTGCACTAAGCTATTTATCAACTCCTAAATAAACTTTAATACTGCACAGCTGAAAGGTAGCGTAGTGTTCTGGTTGGGCAAATAAATTAAACCTCATGTAGTTCAAGGGCTAACCTGGACTGCTGGCTTCCTGCTTATCTAGTTTGCAGGCAATCTATCATTGCAAGGAGAAATATCAAAATCATCATTTATTTATTTATCTTTATATTTATTAGGATTTCAAAATTCAGAACCATTGCAACAGTTCCGAGAATCTTAATGCTACAATGTACCAGTTGGACTGTGTGAAACTGCTGACAATTGACCCGTTCTGACCTACAAAAGTGGCAATTTCATTCAGTTTGTGCTAAGACTTACTCCATCTCCAGCCCAAAATTTGAGATAGAAATAAGCTGTCATATTCCAGAAGACAAATGCAAGGTTAGACATTGACATATTTTCTAACATAGTCCAATTTCAAACAAAATAAAAGGACAATATGAAACTCTGCCACGGCAGAGTGAAATTTAGAGAATTAGATATTGCGTACTTTATTATCAACATCGTCTTTGTGATGAGCTGCACTTGATACATCTTACCGCCTCTATCCTTAAACTAGAAGCAACACTTACCCTCTCCTTCCAGCAAAAATAACTGGTCAATAACTTTCCAAGTTATTTGCAAAATGCAATGCACATAAATCAGATGAAAGGATTCTACCAAGACAACGAGATTTTCAGCCAAATCCTACCAGTGAGTTTGCTGCTTTGTAAATTAGGCCCTTAGGGAAGAACAGTAACTCTTTCAGGAGAGTAAGGAGCCATTTTCCTAAACGATACCCTGGTGATCAGAAATATTGACATCAGGCTCAATATTTTCTAATTCAGAAAATAACTTAAAAAACTCAATGGCAGCAACAGCAAAAAATTTATTCAAATGAGCTCCTTCACAAGCCTCTTTGATCATAGACAAGACTGTTGTTTCCTGTTTGTGTGGGGGATTGAAAGCTACAACCTTTCTCCTGGACCAATGCATGTACATTGTAATTTCTAAATTTTAATTGTGCCAAGTCTAGACAAGAAATAAGTCAAGGATACTTAACTTCCAGATTTGTCTATTCAAAATAGCTCTAAATGTATCACATATTTTAAAATTTTCCTTAACTATATGGCTTTAAATGGCTTATATAATAAATAAAAGTATATTATAAAAATAATAAGAATCATAAGGAAATAAAAGATCTGTGTAGGACAAAGCTAAAGATCTTGAATATGAATTTTTAAAAATTCTTCTGCATAGGTAATCAAACTATAGACCCAGGGGGAAATTTAGTTGTACTTTAAAAGTAACAATGACCGGATAATTAGAAAGTGTAATAATGCTCTATAAATAGAATCTGCTATATTGATTAAATTCATTTTTATATATGAAGTTTAATAATCAGCCATTTCAGCTTTATGATGTGCAAAAATAGCTGAGAATTTGATGGAGTAAGGAATGATACGGTGATTTGGAAAGCACCCTTCTACTCATAAGGGTACCCTATACCATTTTCAATATGTAAATAAGTGGTATAGAACATTGTTCTCAGAGTATGGGCCTTAATCTGGCAGCACCAGCACCATCTGAGAATTTACTAGAAATGCAAATTCTCAGGCCTCAGCCTAGATGTACTAAATCAGAAACTCTAGATGGAGTCCAATAGGCTGTGTTTTAACAAGCCTTCCAGTCATTTCTAATACGTGCTAAAGTTTGAGAGTCACTACTGTGAGGGATCAAACTTTGAGAACTACTGGTATAGCAGATGCTGGGCTGGGCTGTCCAGGCCCCTCTGCAGAACTGAAATACTTCTGGCCCCAGCTGCCAAGAGTGTTGCTGGCTGTCAGTCCTCAGCTGTCATTCCTATCTGAGAATTGGCTTCAGCTAAAGACAGTTTCCTAGCTCAAAGTTAAGCCCTTCATCCCTGAGGGTGGCTGCACCCATTGACTGTTTGGTATATGATGTGTGGGCTACAAAAGACTGGCTCCCTTGCTGTAACTCAGGACAATGCTAAAGGGCTACCCTAGCTTCAGACTTCAGAGCTCCACCTGATCTGAGGAGAAAGATGGGAAGTGTAGGGAAGGGAGGGGGAGGAGAGGGTTGATTGTTGTTGTGGTTGTGACTGCTCCCCTCACAGGTGTTCATCTTGAGAACATGCCATTAAAATCCCTTCATGTTAATTGCATTCTCACAATCTTCTTTCTGGGGAACCTGACCTCTTGAATTGTCACTCTAAATAAGGATTTTTAAAATATGCTTGCCTAAGGAATGTATGTGAAGAAACATACAACTACTTAGACAGACTGTGGTCTCTAAAGGGGACAGGATGGAGGATTCTCACATGCAGCAATTGTGTCTGAAGAAATACTGCACTTTTGGTCATCCTTTAACCACTTCAGTACAAGCGTTGACTACAGCCGACAGCCACAGATGAACGCGCACAGTGACTTTAGCTGACAGCCGTGATATGACTTTTCTAATTTTTCATTTATCAAAATAAAATTGTGAACATTTAAACATAACATAATGAAAATATATATGTATATGTTACCTATTCTGATTTACATTACAAGTAAAGCTGCCTGTAAAGTGAAACAAGCTTTCAGTGCTTTCAAGCTTTCCTCATCACACAAGAGCAAAACGGATTCGTCGTCAACGCACAGCACAAACTATCGTGCGGACTATGAGTGCCGGCTGTGGGCAAGGTTTTGCGGCCGGTGAGTGCCGTACCGAAGTGGTTAAGGAGAGCTATAGATAATGCAGACTTGTATTATCATCAGTTAGAAGCAAGAATCTACTGAAGGGCTTAAGTGCTGGAGCTATAAACTTAGTACAACCCTACACCTGCCCTAGAAGGTGCTCACCCAGAGACAACGTCATGTGAAAAGTAAAGAATCACAGAATCCATGCCTTCAGTATATCCATATTCTTTTTAAGAATTGATTGTCAATGAAGCATCAGATAAATATATTCTGATCTGGCATTAGATCTTCCTCCAACACACACCATTGTATCTCTGAATCAATCTCTAAGACTCCAGATTTTCTATTGAGTTAAATATCACCAGTTTCTTATGGGCCAACCTCATATATAAAAAGCAAAAGAAAAAAGGGAGGAAAACTTGTTCCTTTCTAAAGTAAGCCTGAAGAGCTTAATTAATATATAGACAATATTCCATTATTAGATATATGGATGAGAAATGCCTTATCAGTACATTATATTGTAGGATTATAAGTATGTGTGTGTATATAATCAAGAAAAATACATCAACACATTGAATATTTTTAGAAAAAAGGTTCAATCTGATATGGAAGGTTATTTTGCCCAGGTGTTTCCATAAGTGTGACAAATTGGAAAAATTCACAGCATTCAATCTTCTGCCAAATAACATTGTGCCCTGGTATTGTCAATGGAATAA